TTTTGTCTCAGCAATGACAAAAAGTGACTAAGACAGTACTAACCCCAGTCAGATAATGCATGTTTGTGTTCTCGCCCCCGATGCAATGAAAATACCCTTTGTGGCAAATGGGCGAGATCTGCAGAGTAACTATCAGCACTTACTAAATTCAAGGGAAGATTTCCTGTGCTTTGAAAAGGATAGTGCAGGAAGTGGTTTTCTTTGGCAATTCTTGGAGAAGATTATGGCAAGGAAAGAAGATGCTATGATGGTAATAACCAGAGGATACCTGCCTGGTTGAGTCATCACAGGGGCACAGGAAGACTGTAGAGACACTTTGAAGCAGAATTGGTCATTCAGGAATTGTGAGGATGCAAGTAGGCAACTTCCTGGGAAGGGGAAGGACAGACAACCCCAACCTGGCAGGTAGAGGTACAGTTAGGGTAGGGCAAAATGCTCCATTCTAGAAGTGGAAACATCTTTGGCTGAGGCTAGTCTAGCATCTGTGTTGGCAGATGCCCCTCCAAGAACAGCCAAGAATATTCAGTGGACCCAGTGCCTTGTCTTCATGAATCAATAAAGAATTCTGAAAGTGAAGGAAGAAGACCCCTTTGAGCAGTAACATTTTATGGAAGATAACAAGAGCTGTGTATTTGCAGTGCATGATTTTGTCATCGGTACCTGGTGTAGGCTGTCTAGGACAAGAAAATATTTTAGGCTTAGTTGGCTTTGACAGACATGGTTTCCCCAAAGGCAAAATCAGAATCTGTGTATATTTTGTGTTTAAAGCACTTTTTTCTTGATTAACTGTAAAGATTTTGATTTCCAGAGCTAGTGTTTTGGGTTCCATTTGATGAACTCCATTCCCCCCACAGCCACAGCTTCTCTTTCATTTGTTTCTTTTCCTAAACTGCTTATCAATGAAAATACATAACTCAGTTGTTTAAGTAGAATTCCTGGCTCTCTGTGTTATGTACTCCGCTTTTTTGGCAAGATATTCTAGTGGTTTTCTTGCTGTTGGCAGAATTTACAGTAGAAATTTAGTAAATAATTCATTTTGTTTTTGCTCTTGCTGAGGGAGGGAGGGAGGGAGAGAGAGAGAGAGAGAGAGAGAGAGAGAGAGAGAGAGAGAGAGAGAGAGAGAAGCCAGCAGGGCAGAGATACTCCACTGATTATTTCAGTTCTGAAAATTTAGCAAGAATAAACAACATGATTAGCTTGAATATAATTCATTGTTGAGGCAATGTTAAAAAGAAGTACTGTAGTTGTTGATTACAGCTAGCTCAACTGGCCTTCCCTAGAGTGTAATTAGCTTTTACAGTGACTCCAAATGGCTTCTTTGTGCTTAGATTTGCAGAAAAATTCCAGTGCGATGTCAGAATTTCAGATAGCATTTAATGGCTGTACTAACAGCATGACCTGAATCCATGCATGCACTGGAAGATAGGGAACATCTTTGAGTTTCCAAAGATAACACAAATGTATTAAAAGGAAATAGGGCAAGTTGATAGTCTTGACCTTCCCGGAGTTATAGGGAAGGGAAGTTGCTTTTAATTCTCTGATTTATTTTACTTTTTAAACCTATTTGGGTTATAGTCTTTGTAAAAAGTCACAATGGTTTTTCTTTTAGAAACAACTAAACACATTGCAATTATAACATTTAAAAATATTAATCTTTTTTTTGTTGTTGTTGTTCAAACAGCATTGCAAGTCTAGGAAACATGAAATTCAGGAGACAACTTGTAGGGTAAAGACAAAATGTGAAATTAAAATTAAGAAATTCACACTAGCATGGTCAACCTACAATTAGAAATAAGCTAAGAAAATATTATTTTTGCAATTCTGTTGCCGTTCCCCCTTAAAGATTTATTATAAAAATATAAATTATGCATAAGAGTAGACTAAGTAGCAAAAAGAGCTCCATACTTACCAGTGTCAAAAATCATAAGCTGTATCCCTGTTCTATCCACTCTTCTTCCAGTCATTTTGAAGCAAATCTCATCTTCTTCTGATGAAATCAAGATATAGACTTACTTCATGTATATAGATTTTACGATACATTTCCAGAAGACAAGAACAGTTAAAAATTACTACCAAAATACCAGTATGACACATAAAAAACTTAATGATAATCCTCTGTCCAGTTGTGTTGTCAGTTAGCATTTGGGGATTTTTCCAGTTGTGTATAAATGATTAGTTTAAATAATAGTGTGAGTGAATTAGTATCTAAACTCAACTTGCAGTTGTTTGGCATCTCTCAAGTTACCTTTAGCTTATAGATGCCCCTACACTATTGTAATAAGCTTGTTCGGGAAACTAGATCACTTATTCTGGTGGCTCCCACATCCTGGCGTTTGCCATTGCATCCCTGCAGTGCTGTGTAATGCGTTCTCTTGTTGGCTGTATTGTTGTAGACGTGCAATTAGTTTTAGGTCTTGACCGAATTCACAATTTTGGTTTCATCTGTGTGTGGGGTTGCAGTGCTGGGGCTTGAACCTGGGACCTCATGTGTGCTAGGCAAGCATTCTCCCACTGAACTACCTCCTTACTCATTTTTATTTTTTATTTTGAGACAGGGTCTCACTAAGTTTCTTGGGCTGGCCTAAGATATGTGATTCCTCTCGACTCAGCCTCGAGAATAGCTAGATTTTTAATCGTGAGTCACCACTGCTGGCTTTTGTTTTTAATAAGACTACTACATAGGTGTGTGTATTTCCCCCACCATACAGCAGGCTCTTATTTCCCTTTTTATGATGTTAAAATTAATGAATGGCTCTGGGCATCTGAGTTAGTCAGACCTAACTGTTAGAAAGTATCTAGTCAGCCCTTCCCCTAATAATTTTAGCACCTATTGATGATCACTGCCTACATCTATTATTTCAAGAAGTAGATTTTTAAAAAGTAATTTTTAAAGCCAAGGTATGACTGAGTGACACAGCTGTCTGTTTTTCCTGTGAAGCCCAGGCACAGAGTCCTCATGGAGCTGTCAGCCTGGAACACAAACCCTGTCAGGGAGCTTTTGCATATTAGTGCACAACTTGTGCTAGTGTCAGCTGCAGGAAGACGGGAGCTCTGTGGTTCTGAAGGACAGTTTTAGCTCAGGAATTTAAAAACCCTAGTCAGGCTTCTACAGCTGTTACTAGGCTTTCCAGGCCTCACTGGAGCACAACAGGTGTAGCCGGACACTGCCAGAGTGACACCACAGCTTCCTGTGGAGAAGGCAGTCTCCTGAGACAGTTTGCACAGGCCCAGACTGAAGAGGGAAGATCAGTCTCCACCCCAAAGATTTCAGCATATATGATACCACTTAGTCTACCATTTTATTAAAATTTACAAGAGAGGGAAAAGTACCAAGAAGCCACACTGAATTATTCCCGCTATTTCACCTGTCTCATGATGGGATTTGTGCATCCAGGCAGAGGGCCGTCTTTCTGGTGATGGCCATTGATTCTCCATAGACAGTGGTGGGGAACTGGGAAGGCGAGGAGGTCAGCTTAGAAGGGCTGGGTGTGGCAGCTGCAGGTGAGCAGGAAGTCAAGCTAGGCTCACTGTGTAACACCAGGTGGCAACTCGGAAACTCCCTTACCTAAGCTGTGCCAATCCGGAACCCCTAAGAGGTGCCAAATGGGGAGGACTTTCTCTAGGGTCTGTGTGCTTAGTGTTCATCTCAGTCTACCTCAAGGTCTGCTGTTTTCCCTACTAGAGGATGCAGAGTTACTAATTCTCTTTAATGCCATGCACTGTGTTAGAAGCAAACTTAAGCATTAACAGTGGTAATAACAGATTTTACTCCATGCAGAGGCCTCTAGGCCTGTCAAAGGGAGGCCGGGGAGGCTCATGGCGCTCCAAAGGGGCAGAGTCCTGAGCCCTTGCAGAGGGCTGGCCAGGGTCATTGCAGAGAAGCCACTGTGCCTACCAGCTGGCAAAGACTGAGGGTTCTATGGCCCTGTAAAGACCCTGAGACATACCCTGGCCTTTCCAATGATTACATTTTAAACAAACGGCTCTGGGTCCTTTGGAAAGGTATTTCTGAGTTGTAAGAGATATATGTTTACAATCCTAACCCCTTTTTCATAAATGCACTAAGGAAGGGCAGTCAGGGTGGTAGTTAATGTGGGCTAGAGCACAGGATAGATTGTTCTGGTACTGTTGGCAGCAGCTGTTCTAACAGGGTTTCTGGGGTTCCCCAGGGAGAAGGAAGGCTTTGTGCTCTGGAAACCAGAGAGAGTTACTGGTTCCCTAGTGTATAGGTCTGGCCAGTGGGCATGAGATGAGACTTACACAGTCTCAAGGGTTAGAACGTTGCTTAATGGATGTGGCGACTGAACAAATATAAGTAAGTTGACTTTCTTCCACATCTAAAGGGATGAGTCCACTTCTTGCCTAGTCCCAGTCAGAAAAAGGATTAACACCTCTCTGTTGTTATCCTCCCTGGGTCTACCTGGCTACCCGAGTCTGCAGGTGCCAGCCCACTTTTCTCCTCGTAAGGGCTAGCCAGCCCTGCCACTGTGAATGAGGGAGCCCATCCCCATCACAGTTTTGATTTTTTGAAAATAATCACTTCAGTATAGATCATTGTGGCATAATAATGATGAAACATTTTCAAATGTCCTGCAGGATAATGGGCAGTATTAAGTGAAGACAGTTCCAGTGGTTCTCATACCCAGCGAACTCATACCCCCAGTAGGCTCACGTTTCTGCCATATGCTTCAGCAAAACTTTCCTAGGCAGAAATTTTTTCAGGTTGTAATGTAGTTTTGGCATGACAGCTTTAAACACATATCACAGAAACTCTTTATTTGTTTGCCAGGCTACGGCCTAATGTAGTAGGTAGAAGCTGTTGCACATACTCCCAGACTAACAATTTAATAAACACATGGATGAATGTCCTCACGTCTTCTCTTATCTCCTTCGGTAACATTGACAGAGTAGGAACATTACTTACAGAAGCACAGTGGATGAATTCTTGCAAAATGTTGTGGGTCCTTAGCTGTATTCAGTGATTCTTCTTCTCTTTGTAGATTCCTTACTTATTCCTACCTCTTGGCCTTCAATGTGTGGCTTCTGCTGGCACCTGTTACCCTGTGCTACGACTGGCAAGTCGGCAGTATTCCTCTGGTGGAGACGGTATGGGACACGAGGAACTTAGCCACCGTCTGTCTGGTGGTCGTAATGGCCTTACTGAGCCTGCACTGCCTGGCAGCCCTAAAGGTAATTTTCTTAAAAATTAAATGGATTCTACATTTGAAGAGAAATAATCTACCCTCACTAATATTCTTTTTTCACAGGGTTTCTGGGTCTAAGTTGATTCTGTCTTGCTTGTAAAAACCTTGTGCAGTTCAAGTTTTCATAATGGAAAATACATGCTTTAAAGACTTTAGTTGAGTTAACAAACCATGCCCACATAATCAGGTGATTTCATTGACTATTCCTCCTTTGTAGATAGTAGAAGTTGAATCTGAATTTTACAAACAAGTTTTTCCCTCCTGAGGTTGGCTATTTTTTTAACTATTTGATTTAATGTAATTTATTCAATAAATGAAATATGAGAAATAATATATAAATGCTTGCAGTATGGTTAAAAGTCTGCTTCCACTAGTGACTGCCTGAAGTAGGTGAGTGATTTCTTTCTCATACCCACCCCCAAAACAATAAAACTGGACAAAGTTACTAAATTAACAATTTCAAAAATAGCACTGGATTACTTCTGAAAAGCTACTGCACCGGATAAAATACTCTTTGTCTGAGGCATCCCTATACTCCTAGAACCGGTGTAGAAATCCACAGGTTTACTGGTTCAGCACGGCTGACTTGGTTTGGGAGAAGAGCAGAGTATCTAGAGATGTAAGTGGAGATTTTGTAAGCAAGAAAGGTGTAGAGGGCTGAGATGATATACTCTAGCATCTGTGGCTGACTACAAAACAAGAGCTGTACATGAACTCCCTAGGAGAATGAGGAAAATTAAAAGCTGGAGGATTCACTTCTTTGTTATAAGTTTGAATGAATTCTTCAACCCATACAGAGGTTGGGCAGTAGAGGGTGGAAGCTTCTCTGGCTTGAGTTGTCTGCATATCACCTATGTCCATATCTTTAACTGACCACAGAGCCTTGTAGGCTTGAGAGAGATCATCCTGACATCCAGATAAAGAAAAAAATAAAGTCTAAGCAAAAATTTCAGCAGTTGTCAGAGGAATAGATTTTCTAGTTTAAGCACCAGCAAGTTCGTGAGTTATATTAAAAGAGTAAAACCAGCAGTTTCAGAAGAACAGAACTACAGAGTCACTATAATACATGGCATACAATGTCTAGTTATTAACCAAAGATTACTAGATGTACAAAGAAATAGGAGAGTGTTACCCAAACAGGAAAAAGAATAGAAGTGAAATTCAAAAGCTAAACCCACTTAATTCTTGCTGTTATTTCTTATGTAATTGGAATTCTGTTTCGAAAGTCCTTACCTATACCAGTGATTACAAGAGTTTTACCTATTTTATCTTCCAGTAGATTAAGTGTTTAAGTATTTTAATATTCAGATCTTTGATCCATTTTGATTTTAGTTTAGTACATGGTGAGAGAGATGGGCCCAGCTTCAATCCTTTATATGACACAAATGTGAACTAAATAACAATAACAACAACAATGAGGATGAAAATGGGGTAAAAGGATGTAGGGGTTGAGGGTGTGAGGCAGGTGGGGAGGGGAAGGGGAATGAAAAGAATCAAGATATGTTAAGTACATGTATCCACTCTCTAAGGTGAATGTAAACATCTTGTAATGCAAACGTGTACTAAAAAAATCTGCTTACAAATTGTCAAGGTAATTTAATGGGGAAAGAAAAGGGTAGTCTTTAAATAAAATGTGTGAAAATAACTGAATTTCCCTGAGGAAAAATACTAATCCTGCCTACTGTACACAGAAATGTATTCTGAATTCTGAGTGGCTTATAGTCCTAGACAAAAGAACTCAATAAGACCAAAGAATTTCAAATGAAAACAGGAGAAAATCTTTGGGTTAGGCAAAGATAGATAGAGAAAGTAAACACTAGAAAAGAAAAAGCTGAGAAATTAGACATCGTCAAAACTAAAAGTTTTGCCCATCACGTGATAATGTTGGCTAAAGGAAAAGGCAAGTCACAAACTGTTAGATAATACTTGTATACATCTATCTACAGAGAATTTGTATCTGAGATACTGAAACTTGAAACTGAAAATCATTAAAATTGGTCAAAGAATTCAAATGGAGGGAATCGATATATGCTTTTCTGGCATGTTAACTGTTTAAGGTATAAGAAACAGCAGTTACAAAAAGATCAGTGATCTGCATGCTTTTCCTTAAAAATTTTCAGGTGAAACTTTCATGGGCAAGATGATTCTCTCCTTGTACTACCAGGGAAAGTAACATCTCTATCTACAAGGATGAGAAGTCAAGATCAAGGGAGTTCTGTTTATTTATTGTTAAAATAACTGTTAAACCTCCTCATGTAGTTTGGTCACATTTCACAGTACTGCAAAAAACTTGTACTGTGCTTTTTTTGGTTAATCTATGCTATATTAATTATTGGACCCTAAGAGGATGGCCCTACAACATATTTCACTAAAGATATACAGAAGTGAATAAATGTACCAATAAATTCAATTATTTAATAAAAAATATTCCTGTGAAAAAAAATTAAAAAAATAAATGTATGATAAGAAGCTCAGCATCATGAGCTTGTAGGAATGTACAGATTACAGCCACAAAGAGATACCATTGGAATCCTCAAAAATATTCACAATACTATGTATTGTAGACACCAGAACTCTCATACTTTGTGGGAATTAAAAAAAAAATGATCCAGCCACTTTGGAAAATGTTGGCAATTTCTTAAAAATGTTAAATACAAATTTAAGCACTTTTACCCATCAGTGTCTAATAAAAAGAAATGAAACCATATGCCCCCACAAAAATCTCATATGTGACTATTTATAGCCACCTTAAAAAATTTTTTTAAAGTTTTATGAAGACGATAAACTTTCAGATTAAAAAAGTTCAGTGAATCACAAACAGAGTAAACATAAAAGCCTTGTAAAACCAGGAATAGATAATATACGACAGAATCAATAAATGGAAAAGGCAAGATTTACCAGCATTCAGGATAGCAGCTGTCCCACACCACCTCACACACTTACACATCGGCAGGACCTTTGGAGAGCACTTGCATTATGGGGCTCATGGCTGACTTGCTGTTAGAGGATAGGATCCAGGTTGGACAGGGTGGCTACTGGGGGTGTGGCCTGCAAAGATTTGTCTCTTCTCCCTCCTCCTCTCATTCTCTGCTTCCCTGTTGCTAGGACTTGAGCCACCTCTGTCTGTGATGCCCTTGGGCCATGTTGCCCTGCATTGGTACTGTGAACTGAAACCTCCAAAGACTACGTTCAAATAAACCTCTAAAGGGTGTAGGTGTTAGGTATTTTCTCCCAGCAATAAGGGAACTAACTAAGACAGATTTTGGTGCCAGAGAAGCGGAGTTTTGCTGTGATTGTTCCTGACTGTGTGGTTCAGACACCTTGGAACTGTTCACGGGAGGAGTTTGCAGATGCCAGCTGGAAAAGCAGTGTGAGAATGCTGTGAGTCGGGCTGGATGGGAGATTCTGGTTTGAGCTCAGAAGGCCAAAATGTTGACTGTAATGCAGCTGAAAAAGACCAGGCTCGAGATGTTTCAATTAGGAAGGACTCCATTGGCAGCTGGACTCCAGGCTGTGTGTGTTATTCTCTGTCTGAAAGGAAATTTGTCTACATTTTGCTCATGTCCTGAGATTTTTGGAAAGTCTAAGATTAAGGGCAATGGGCCAATTAATCTAGTAGAGGCAATTTCAAGGCAGTCTAATGTTGACATGATGGCATGGCTAATGTTGAGGGCTTTTAATAAGCTATTGAGAATCAAGAACAAAAGGCCTCATTGAATGTTTTCAAATGTTTTATGTTTAACTAGAAAGGAGCTTAAGGTCTGCAAAAATGGAGCAGAGGAGAGATTATTTGCTAGATTAGTATTGAAAAGAAGCCAGGAACTTCGTAGCAGGACGATAGAAAAGACAGCTTGACAGTATCACTGGACAGGCCCTTCCAGGCTCACAGTTACAAAAGTGAAAAACTTTGCTTTGAGAAGAGAGCCTCATGGCACCACCGCCTAGGAAATTGGTTTTATGGGACCCTTTCACAGCACTCAACCCCTGCAAATGTGATTCAGGAGCCTGGCTACTGCTAGAGCTGGGGGCAGACCTTGGCAGCATCTATGAGGTGCTGTGTTTGTGCTCATGAAAAGTGTAAGAGTTGGGGTCAAGAAGGCTTCCACCCAGATTTCAGAAGACAGCCTGGGAGGCCGGGCAGTGTCACCGGAGAGGGCAGTGTGCGAAGCTGTGAGTGTGAAACCAAAGGTGTGCTGGAGACCCTGGAAGGTCACAGAAGGCAGGAGTGTGGATGTCTGGGGAAAACTGCAGAGAAGGAACAAAGCTGGCCCAAGAGAGAAGCCAGGAGACCTGCAGCCACTGGCAGTGACTCAGGGTTGGGGCTGCCTGGGCTGTGTAGTTCAGTGTCACTGCATTGCTCCTTGGGGGCTGGACATGGAATTAAGGTATTTAATATTTGCCCTGGTGAGTTTAAGTCTTTGCGTTGGTCCCATTCCCTTCTGTCTCTCTCTTCCTTACTTTTAGAATGGCAGTGTTTATCATGTGCTATTGTATGTTGAAAGGGTTTCACTTTTTTTGTAATATTTATATGGGTTTATATAACTAAGAGTTTGCCTTGACTCTCAGAAGCCTTTGGACTTGGACTTTTTAGCAATGCTGGAACCATTAGGATTTTGGCAATGTGAATTGGCTGACTGCACGACCTAACAAACTCTCCTGTTCTCCAGACACTGCCACCTGCCACAGAAAATTCACAAAAAAGTCTTCTACCTGCAGGGCATGTGTCAGCCAGAACATACGATGCCAGATCCGAGCCCTGTGCCCAGTTCCCCTCCACCATCCCTTGCTGGAGCATCGGTGGCGCCATCTGCCTTTGTGCAAAAATCGCCATCCCTATTTCTGTGTAAACACTCCCTAGGTTTCTGGAATAGTTTCACTCACTAGTGCTAAATAATTTCATTAATATGAAACCTTTAAAAGCGTAGAATTACATTGGCAGACAACATGTGAAGGTGGGGATCACTTGTCAAAAGACTTGAAGGAACT